CTGTCTGTTTGAGAGCTGAGGTAGCAGAGCAGATGACAGGCCCAGAGCAGGGGTCCGGCGTATGTGCTCAGTGCTGTCAGGATAATAGCAGGAGCTTCTACATAACTCTCCAAACCCACAAAGCCCACAGAGATGTCCACCGTCCCGATGTTATTAGAGTTTCCCTGAACACACACACACACACACAACATCAACACACTGACTTCACACACATCTAGACAGTTCAGAAACACCTTACAATGAACTGTTGTTCCACTGTCTGCAATGACGTGGAGCTTTGAAGATGACAAAGATCCTATTTATTGAGTGAATGTTTCATGCTTTAAAGGGATACTTCACACAACATTTTTAATTACCTGATCATTTACTCATACACATGCGGTTTACACCTTCACGTTGATCAGCTGGTTTGTTGCTGACATACGAGCGATCCGCTGATGAATTGCTACTTTACAATGCTCCAGTGTCCCTGTATCCAACCCAGGCTCATTCTGGAAATGTAGCCCCGGGGACATTTCTGGAGACCACGGAATACGTCCCGGGAGGTACGTATTTGTGCAGTTTTTGTTTTCACACTTTTTCGAGTCTCGAACGCTTCTCGCGCCCATAATGTTCTCCCGTAAAAAGCCGCCGAAGGCCACTGTCGAGCAACCGTCTGTCAGACTGACCATCTGTCCGACTGACCGACTGGCTGAATGACTGAACGATGGACTGGGCAGCCAGCCAATAGGCCGACCCGGCTGACCAGGGCAACCTCCTCCTCCTCCTTCTTCCCAAAAAGCAACGTCCCAAGCAACGATTTACGAAAGCCATGCAGGAAAAGAAAAGCACTCATCCGATTTTGACAGACAGAGAGAAAGACAGACAGACAGACAGCCAGACGGACGGACGGACGGACGGACGGACGGACGGACGGACGGACGGACGGACGGACGGACGGACAGACGGACAGACAGACAGACAGACAGACAGATAGATAGATAGATAGATAGATAGATAGATAGATAGATAGATAGATAACATGATAGAATGAACAAATGATTCAACTCAGGCCCGGATTGGCTAATCGGGAGGACCGGGAGAATTCCCGGTGGGCCGGTCCGTTTTTTGGCCGCGAGGGCCGGTGTCCCTAGCTCCAGAATCTGTTGCTCTCAGCAGTCACACTTTTTAAATTAATGTATTTATTTACTTGACCACAGTCTTCTTATTCAATATTGTACCGCAGCTCTGTTCTTTTTATCTATTTTCTCGCAGCCTCGTGATGAAGATGCAGCCTACAAATGAATGATTTCATAACTGTTGTAGTCGAGTGGTTAGCACGTTAGGTTTCGACGCAAGCGACCCGGGTTTGATCCTCAGCTGAGCAATTTTTTTTTTTCATTTTTATTGTTAAGACATATAATACTGTTAGGGTTGTTGAACATTTGAAGTTTTAAAGCAGCTGTTTTCTCAAAAAAAGACGTGATAGTGTAATTAGAAACTGAATTGGAAATGACCTTATTTCAATAAGTCGTGAACTGACGTGGGCCGGTCTGAGACTTGAAACTCCAGGGCTGAAAAGGAGTCCCACTCCGGCCCTGATTCAACTAACAATTGAACAAATGAATGACAGAACGAATGATAGAAATAATGAATTGAGCAAATAAACGACGGAATAATAGATGGACGGACGGACGAACGGACAGACGGACAGACAGACAGACAGACAGAGAGAGATGGATGGATGGATGGATAGATGGTCCCGGTAGGTACGTATTTGTGCAGTTTTGTTTTCGCGAATCCGAGAGGCCACTGTGCGCGCTTTTTCACGTCTTAAATGCCTCTCGCGCCCGCTCTGTTCTCGCGTAAAAAGCCACCGGAGGCCGCTGTCGAGCGACGGTCTGTCCGACTGGCTGTATGACTGAACGATTGACTGGGCGGCCAACCAGGCCACCCTCCTCCGTCTTCTTCCCTAAACCCAAGTGACGATTTACGAAAGCCGTGCAGAAAAATAAAAGGCCTTGTCTGATTTTGATCGCGTTTTCGGATTTCACCGCATTCTCGCCCTGTTACAAACTCCTACAATTTAATTTTTTGGATCTTTTATTTTTTGAATTCTTACCTGATTTCTGGAACCGCTCTTCTCCGGACTAGAACCTAGCCGACGCCTCCTCCTCCTCCGGGCCTCTGCTCCGCCGACGTAACACGACGAGCTAACCGAACAAACTGGTTGCGGCGGGAAAGCCCTTCACATGGAGGAGGTGAGCCGTCAGCCCAGCCAGCGAGTGCGAAGAGGACCGGCGCACACTACCCGTAGCGTTCGCTTGAAAAAATTAAATGCGGCCATACGTAACTCCGGCCACGTAAATCACGGCCTCCAGAAACGTCCATGGGGCTACGTTTTCAGAATGAGCTTGGGTTGCCTGTATCTTTGGTTACACTCCGTAAACAACAGTGAGTTCGGTGAACTGATGACCTTCGCGGCCAATCACAGTCATTTCTGTTGAGCATTTAAACACAATGACAAATCAGCGCTGTTTAAGAACATGCTCAAATGTTAGCAGGAAATGGATGTTTTTAAAGTTTCAGTATCGATTGGTAGCGAATTCCAGTTTGGTGACAACCCTACTTCATATATTGTTTCTTTTCTGTCTTGGATTTCTGTAGACGCGGATGCAGCTCTGGTCTGAATCCTCTGTGTGAATCTGCAGGTGTTGATGTGAGATGGCTTTTTCCAGTCTTCGCTGACAGACTCGGAGGGTCCCTGGGCTGATGGAGGGGGAAATAAACACACAGATCTGCTCCTGCTGTCAGCGGCTCGCGGTGGGCCCTGTCTGTCACTGTCAGGACAGCCGGATTAGGAAACCCTCCTCCTAAATCACTCGCTCCCATTATTTCAGGCCGGTTTGCAGTGTCAGGGTGGGCGGGGAAAGGGCCTGGCCTGATCAGAATGAACTAAATCAATGTGGCAATTTGCAATTAGCAATCACTCTCTCCAAGCTTAATAACTGGAGAGGATTATATTCAATAAATGCGTCCTTCAGCGGTTTGACTGCATTGACCTGCACTGTCCTTTTGATGATGATGTCATTGTGAAGCCTATAATTCCTTGCTGGGCCGCTTTAGATGGTAATTGGCCAGTAAAGAGCCATTTATGACCCTCACTTACACGCACATCTCAGTACGACTCTCTAGATTCATTTCATCTTGATTTTGTTGGAGGGTAGCACAGTGGCTCAGTGGTTAGCACTGTCACCTCACAGAAAATAATGTGTTTTTCAATAAAGTCTATATACAGCTGCGGATATGCACATCAATATAACATTATTCTTTATGACACTTTATAACAATAATGAATATTTTTACAGTACTGTGTTTACAGTACTGTATTTTTACAGTACAGTACTGTGGCTGGGTTTAGGGTTAGGGTAGGGATAGATATTAATACAATACAATTTATTGGGCAAATTAACCACTTAAACTCTGCTGCTATTTGGTGATTTCCGGCTGGATTTTGCCTACCCAAATTTAAAAGCTTCCCAAATCCCCATAAAGAGGTGTAAAAGCAAAAATTTGGTATCATTTTAAAGAAAACCCTTTGAATTTTCATAAAACACTATTGAAAGTGTTTAAAATAACTGCATATGTCGTCTGTGTTATAATAAACACCCAAAAAAAGAGGCGCTTTTTGTATTTTTTTTATAACTCAAATTTGAAAGTGTACCTTTTAGGTTCTGTGTGGTCTAGCGTGCTGTAATTAATTTTGGTGGTTCCTGCACATGTCTGTAATCATAGGAAAAAAGAAAAAGGTCTCCAACATAATCTATGCAAAAGTTATTGCATTCCAACTGATGAGAGGTGCTGTAGCCACAGGGAGCGATCATTGTTTTCATATTTCACTATTCTTTTGTTTGATCAAACATAATTCACTGTGTTTGGACCACGTCAGACATATAAAAGGATTACTTATGCACATCACCTCAAAAACAGAGGAGAAATGGTCCTGAAGGGCACAGCATAAGGTAAGAGATGACAGCTGTCTGTGCTATCTGGGGCTGCTTATTGATCATAAATGTATTGTTTACATTTCTGCGCCATGGAAAACACCACAATTCATTCAACAACTGTTTGGCATATGAATATAATTCAGTAAAAAGAATGCTAGAACTGTATGAGCACCGGCAAGAGCTTCCATTTAAGCTATAACTTGTACATGTGTCATATGAAAAAATATGAAAATGAACCAATGTAAAATACCCAGCTCGGGTCTCCAAAATACTGTGTTTTTAAGTGTAAATAACTTTTATACAGTAGAATAAAAACCAAAGTGATGCATCTGTGCATACAATATAGATTCTACACTTTCAAATGAAACCACTTACGGGGGTCTGGTGCAACGCTAGCCCTTTAAATCTGAAAGCGAAAGTCGATGACGTCACAGACCCGGCACCGGGTCGGCAGAGTTTAAGTGGTTAATAAATAACTTAAATAATACTGCATACAACTGCTGTTTTTATGTTACTGTGATGGTGTAGGGTTGGGGTATATGTTAATGAAATACTATTAATGGGAAATGTTATATATAATTTTCGTCAACTTCCGGCCGCAACCGTATCTGATCTAGCAACAATCATCTTATTCACAGTTGCCCCTAACAAGCACATTTTAGTGTATTGCGTCCATGGAAGTGGCTGGAATTTATTCATTCTGCGAGTCTCTTCATTGCGGTTATAACTAAACCTGCTGGCTAGTGTAGAAATGAGGGGACCAGCCTTTCAATCTGTCCCCATTTAACAAGGGCAGTAAATGATGAGAAACAGACTGAATGAATGAACGTGTAAAAGCAGCAGCTGATGATTTCATGCTTGGATTGAGGCAATATGTAAAGAAACGTCCTGCAAATTTTGCTGAGTCGCGAGCCTATAATGGGAATCCGGCAGTGAATGGAAGATTTCTGCTGTCTTCAATGTTTACCAAACTAAAGGGCATTTTCGCACTCGAGTTCGTTTAGCGTCAGAGTTTAGTTTATCAGGCTGTTTATCTGCTCCACGGCACAGCTCAAATTTGGTCCACAATCTAACTAAATTTGCACAATAAACCTCAATTTGTGGTGTTCATTGTCCTTTATTTATGTAAAAATGACCGAAGACCGCATTTACTGGATCGTTGAGAAAACATTCACAACAGACCAGATTTATTTACTACACACTACCTTGTCTTGTCGCCTATCCAAGTTTTAGAAACAATAAATAATAACTTGACTTCTAGTTGATTATTTGGTATCAGAAGTGGCTTATATGAAAGGCAAAGGCCTCTAGATTATGCTTATTTGACCAAAATAAAATATGATCCTGCCTTGATTTTTAGTTATTTAATTAGGACAGTAAAGTCTGAATTTGCTTAGACAAAAGTCTTGTCACTGAACAGAAATAATGTCTAGTATAGAATATAAAGTCCTGCTGCAGTGGAGACAGAATGAATATTGTGTCTGACTCCATCATGAGCTTGGAGGACTGCATCCATACATCTCTGCAATGACTCAAATCACTTATTAATGAAGCAACCCAAGCTCATTCTGAAATCGTAGCCCCGTGGACGTTTCTGGAGACTGTGAATTACGTGGCCGGAGGTATGTATGGCCGCATTTTGTTTTTTCAAGCGAACAATACGGAGCGGTGTGACGTCGCTCCTCTTCTTCGCGCTGGGCTCACATCGGTGTGGACGGCTTTCCCACAACCAGTTTGTCTGGTTAGCTCGTCATGTTACGTCGAAGGAGCGGAGGCCCGGAGGAGGAGGAGCCGGCCACGGTCGAACAACCGGGTTCGAGTCCGGGGAAGAGCAGTTCCAGAAATCAGGTAAGACAAAGAACAGAATCCAAAAAATAAAGCGAACAAGTTCGTAACGGGGCGAGAATGCGGAGAAATCCGAAAACATGGTCAAAATCGGACGACGGCTTTTATTTTTCTGGATGGCTTTTGTAAATCGTCGCTTGGGTTTAGGGAAGAAGGAGGAGCAGGAGGGTGGCTGGGTCGGCCGATTGGCCAGCCACCCAGTCAATCAATCGTTTAGTCAGTCAGTCAGTCAGTCGGACAGACGGTCGATCGAGTGCGGCCTCCGGCGGCTTTCCAGCGCGGATGAGAACGGCAGACTTGTGAAAACAAAAACTGCACAAATACGGTCCTTCCTGGGACGTATTTCGCAGTCTTCAGAAACGTCCGCGGGGCTACGTTTCCAGAATGAGCCTAGGTTGTAATAATGTCATCTGGAATGGCAAAGAAAGCGCTCTTGCAGGACTCCCAGAGTTCATCAAGATTCTTTGGATTCATCTTCAATGTCTCCTCCTTCGTCTTACCCCAGACATGCTCAATAATGTTCATGTCTGGTGACTGAGCTGACCAATCCTGGAGCACATAAACCTTCTTTGCTTTCAGGAGCTTTGATGTGAAGACTGGAGTATGAGAAGGAGCGCTATCCTGCTGGAGAATTTGCCCTCTCCTGTGGTTTCTAATGTAATTGGCAGCACAAATGTCTTGATACCTCAGACTGTTGATGTTGCCATCCACTCTGCAGATCTCTTGCATGCCAACATACTGAATGTTGAATGCCTCTTGATTTATTTTTTTCTTAAACATTTAAACCACAAGCAAGACAAAAACTCTAAGCAAGAAAAACCTTTTTTGTTTTTGTTTTTTGGTAACACTTTAGAATAACTAGTTATAACTAGTTAATAGTTCAATAATAAACTGTTAGTGGATGAGTTATAAATGACTTGATAAATAAAAGTTAATAGTTTGTTAATTATTTACAACTGTACATTGTAGATAGCCAGCAGATAACTAACAAGTTGTTAGTTAACAAGTTATAAATGACTTGTTAAGTGTATTTTAATGATTTATAACTATACCTAATAAATTAGTGATAGATCTTGAAAGAGCTGTTAGTAAATTACTTACTATAGACTTGTTAAGTATCAGTTATCAGTTTTTATATGCTATTGGGACGTTATTCTAAAGTTGCAACTATTCTTCATTTATTAACTGTTAGTAAATGAGGAATAGTTGCAACTAATTGTTATGCAGTTCAAAACATAAAATATGAATGTTGTTGAATGTAGAAGAAGCCTACTTCAGCAATGCACTGCTTTTGTTGTGCGAAATACCATTAACATCTTGAATGTTTGTAAACAAAAAAAGGTCAATTGGACAATGCAGTTGTTTTAAAATACAATATATTAACATTTTAATGTAGAAAAAGAAAAAGTGGGTGTCTTTATAAGCACAAATACAGCATATGAGCTCTTATGTGTAGTTTCGTCATCACTCATAAAGCAAGTCATATCTCTCCGGCCCTTCGTTTGGGATGCTTTTCATAAACCGGCCCCCATGCTAAACTAATTGAATAGCTTTGTTCTAAAGCAGGGGTCTCAAACTCAATTTACCTGGGGGCCGCAGGAGGCAAAGTCTGGGTGAGGCTGGGCCGCATAAGGGATTTCACAAAAAAAGTCCTCAAATGTCATTATTAACAGTTTTAAATATTTCTTCTGAACATGAAGTGTCCTGAACATTAATAGAACATTGAGTGAAGATTATGAACAGTTCTTCTGAACATGGCATCTTTTGCCTACTTCTTGCTGCCAGAGACTTGACAGCGCTTCTTCTCACAAATCTGAACCACATTTGGCTTTAGAGCGGAAGCAGTCGAGACCCTCAGTATGGCTTGAAGATGATCATCATTAAGCCTAGACCTGTACTTTGACTTATTGAAGTCCTAGGGAAAAAAGTGGGGGAACTCACTCAAAACTTCCATTCCCTCACCTAAAAAAAGGTGTATATATGTATAAATAAAACACCCCCACCCCACTCCAGTCACATCAGTCTGTACCAGTCTGTATCTACCTTTAATATCAACACAATCTCAGGCACGTGCACACATAGGGCTCAACCTGTGCAGAGCACATGCCCTTTTTAGTCTTGCATAGAAAGTGCCCTTTCAAAATGATCAAAAGTGCCCCCGCGACGCGACACACCCTCGGTCCCGCCCTTCAGTAGGCGCGCGATAACACCGCTCTTGAGTACGCGCACGACAACACAGCTGATCAGAACGCGCATTGAGTGACAAGCGCGCTGTGTACGGATAGAATCAGCGGAGCGCTCTCTCTCCCCGCTCCGCTGACTCTGTCAGTGTACAGCGGTCGGCGCGGGCCACAAAATATTGCACTGAGGGCCACAAATGGCCTGCGGGCCGCGAGTTTGAGACCCCTGTTCTAAAGTGTTACCTTTTTTTTTGCATTGCTAAATGCTTCCTATTTTGCCCTCTTCTTCTTTTAACACATTCTCAGTCGTGTTTCTCAAAAACATATCAAGCCTTCAAAGCCTCAAATACAAAGAGCCTCATTCATATCATTAAAAAAAATCCATTCATACGAATTTAAATGTGAAAAGTGCTCAAACTCTTGATGAAATTAAATGTACTGAGCGATCGACTCCAGTCTGAAAACACCCCGAGAACAATGAAGCTGCAATTATTCAATCGATATGCATTAACAAAGCCAACCAGACCCCCATTGTCTTTCCTAAATAAAGCCAGAAGTGCGCTCTCCTCCTTACCTGGAAGTAGAAGAATGCCTGTCCGAACCAGTAGTGCATGATGGTGGTCTGAGCGGCGTCATAGTGGAGCTTCTTCCAGATGAACTGAGCCATGATGGTCTGGACGAGCAGACAGCAGGCCAACGTGGGCAGATTGTGAGCCCTGAAGAGCAGAGCCACCAGTAAAACCACACCACTGTACACTTCCCACAACCCTCTGCTCTTCAGACGCCCGCTGTCCACCGCCGATGACATCACCTGCGAACGCAACAGGTCCTTCACACCCGTGAACAAGATCCCCAGGACGAAAACGTAGACGAATCGAGCCTCCACGGTTCCCCTGTAGGAGAGAAAGCTTTACTTGAATACACTGATTTACTCAGTTTCTTAAGGTAAAATAACAATAATAAGTCTATTATGAAGTGTGTCTGGTGTCTTGTGAACACTCTCTTCAAGTAAAGCGTTATCAAAAAAAAAAAAATCCTCCTGAAACGCTCATCAAAGATGCTCACATTTTCACCCACTCATGGAGGAATCGATATTGACTGCGAACACCCTTTTGTTTGAAGGCTTGTCTTCATCTCGCTCCAGGCTTGTGAAGTCTGGAGAGAATCAATAACAGTGAGGTTTTGGAGCTTGGCAGCGGAGAGCAGAAGTTACTTATTATAGCCTGGTGGAGGTCAGTCGGGTCGGCCGGCCCAAGCTCGCAGGGAAATCAGCAGAAACCGCCTTTAAAGACCACCGCATCGCTCTAAACCACGTTGGAAAAACCACTGGGAGGATATCAAGGTGCACACCTACTGTACTGTACATCAGAGAAACTGTTTCATCTCCACACATTAGCAAAACACCTCAGATACAAGCATTCTCGCTATTTAAAGGGGCAGTTCCCGCAAAAAAAAAGTAATTTTACTCAACCTTAAGTCAACTAAGCTGTTGGTGACTTTTTTTATTTCAGTAGAGTGGGATATTTTTCTGCTAAAATGCTGGCTCTTGGCATAGGTGTAAAATATTTAGTAACACTTTACCTTAAGGGTTGTCATTAAACCTTTATAATGAATGTCATGAATGCCAATGAGATGTTATGCATGCTTATAACAACTGTTATGAAGTGCAGAGAATATGTTTGTAGAATATTTGGAACCATTAATATTTGCAATATTTACTAGCAATATTTGGTGACACTTTACCTTAAGGGATGTCATTAAACCTTTACAATGAATGCCATAAATGTGAATGAGATTTCATGCATGCTTATAACAACTGTTATGAAGTGCAGAATATTTGGGTGTAGAATATTCGGAACCATTAATATTTGTAATATTTACTAGCAATATTTGGTAACACTTTACCCTTAGGGATGTCATTAAACCTTTATAATGAATGTCATGAATGGCAATGAGATGTTATGCATGCTTATAACAACTGTTATGAAGTGCAGAGAATATGTTTGTAGAATATTTGGAACCATTAATATTTGAAATATTTACTAGCAATATTTGGTAACACTTTACCTTAAGGGGTGTCATTAAACCTTTGCAATGAATGCCATTAATGTGAATGAGATTTCATGCATGCTTATAACAACTGTTATGAAGTGCAGAATATTTGGATGTAGAATATTCGGAACCATTAATATTTGCAATATTTACTAGCAATATTTGGTAACACTTTACCCTTAGGGATGTCATTAAACCTTTATAATGAATGTCATGAATGCCAATGAGATTTTATGCATGCTTATAACAACTGTTATGAAGTGCAGAATATTTGGGTGTGGAATATTTGGAACCATTAATATTTGCAATATTTACTAGCAATATTTGGTAACACTTTACTTGAAGGGTTGTCATTAAACCTTTATAATGAATGCCATCATCATCATGATTTTATGCATGTTTATAACAAATGTTATTAAGTGTAGAATGGTTGGTAACATTATTATTTGCAATATTTGGAAAATTTGATAATAATATTTGGTAACACTTGAAGTGGTGACATTAAAGCTTTGTAATGAATGTCATGAATGTCAATGAGATTTTTTTTCATGTTTATAACAACTGTTATTAAGTGTAGAATATTTGGTAACTTCAATATTTGGAATATTTAATAGAGTATATTAAAATATATATAATAAAATGAGAATAAAATGATTGAATTCATGCTTATAAGGACTGTTATTAAGTGTAAAGTATTTGGATGTTGAGTATTTAGTAAGATTCATATTTGGAATATTTAATAACAATATTTGGTAACACTTTACTTAAAGGGGTGTCATTAAACCATTATAATGAAAGTCATGACTGCAAATGAGATTGTATGCCTGCTTATAACAACTGTTATTAAGTGTGGAATATGTGGGTGTAAAATATTTGGCAAGATTAATATTTGATAACACTATTTGGTAACACTTTACCTGAAGGGATGTCAATAAACCTCTCTAATCAATGTCATGAATGCAAATGCGATTTTACGCATGCATATAATACATTTTATTAAGTGTAGAATATTCCGGTGTAGAATATTTGGTAACATTAATATATGGAATATTTGGTGGAAATATTTAGTAACATTTTACTTGAATCGGTGTCATTAAACCTTTATAAAAAATGTCATGAATGCAAATTAGATTTTATGCCTGCTTACAACTGTTATTAAGTGTCATCCGATCAGTTATGCCATTTTAAATGCAAAGATGTCATGGTTATGACACCTTGACATAAACAAATACAATGTCATGACAACTTGACATTACCAAGACAACATATCTTGTCATAAATCTGTAGTAAACATGACTCTCACAAAGCCATTGTAAATATGTCATGAATTTGATAACAGAATCAATAATAATGTTTGGACATGAATATTTTTTGGACCTTGTATCGTGGTACAAGCTGAATTTGTCATTTAAATGTCATTATATATTATTTGCAATCATTTTAATGAAGAATACAGTTTGTTTAACTGAAAACAGGGTTAGAAAAACATTCATGACAATTTTAAAGGCAACGTGACAAATCATCAAATCATGTTTATGACAGTTTTATGACAAGTTATGTTGTCTTGATAATGTCAAGATGTCATGACAAAACACGTGATGTATTTTCTGCATATTGTCTGCATATTTTCTGAGAGTGAAGTGCAATGTGCAATATATAGAACAAAATGTCCATTTCTATCTTCATTTCTTCTGTTTTAACCATAAAAAGCTTATTACATAAAAAAGATTAATACAAAATGATAAATCATAAAATGAAAGTCCGTGCCTATACTGAGATTTTGAGAGTTTTGAGAGAGAAAACATACAGCATTTAATGTGGTGGTGGCTGACGATACATTGAGATTTTATGAAGAGAAATAATCTGCAACTGAAAACTGAACATTATTTGCAGCATTATTATATGTAATCCAAAGCTTCATCATGAAAATAATTAGCAAGATTTATTTTTTTTTTCATATAATGATGTACAGTATCATACTTTTAACAGAGAGAAGCCATTCAAAGTAACAATGTTGTAAATAAAGTTCAGTTTCTTGCCTCATTTCACTCATAAGACCTGAATGTATCACCAGGAGACACGTAATCATTTTGATTTGCTTGAATATGTCAAATAAAGAATTTAATATATTTATTTTTTAAATGCCAGTGGCTGAATTGTCTTATATCAATCACCTATTCATGGTTTCAGCAAAAAAAAAGAAAAAAAAGAAACTTAATTAATGTTCCACACCTTGCATGCCCAGAGGCTGAGCACATTTCCATTTTATTTTCCCCTTCGTTGCTGTGTTCGAGTTCATTTTTAAAAGTATTCATACTTTATCCGATTCTTTCTATTTTGGGAAGCTTTTACTTCACTACATGATTACTTGATTTGCATACTTCATCTGCTGCCGCAAAACTAGATCAGACCACTTGCATTACATAATATAATTTAATCAGAGAAGCATTGGATAACAAAAAAAAGGAAGAAACTGTTTAGAAACATTTTTAGTCAGAAATTGCTTGTACATTTTCCAAATAAGAGGTTTAGCAAGCAACACTAAAATAATGATGGATGGATGGATGGATGGATGGATGGATGGATGGATGGAGGGATGGATAGACCCGACGGACATGGTGAAGAGCTAGATGATGGATGGAAGGACAGACATGTAAAGAGTTAGATGATGGATGGATGGATGGATGGATGGATGGATGGACAGACATGTAAAGAGATAAATGATGGATGGAAGGATGGATAGATGGATGGGTGGATGGATGGATGGATGGATGGATGAATGGATGGATGGATGGATGGATGGATGGATAGACCCAACGGACATGGTGAAGAGCTAGATGATGGATGGAAGGACAGACATGTAAAGAGTTAGATGATGGATGGATGGATGGATGGATGGATGGATGGATGGATGGATGGATGGACAGACATGTAAAGAGTTAAATGATGGATGGAAGGATGGATAGATGGATGGGTGGATGGATGGATGGATGGATGGATGGATGGATGGATAGACTTGAAGAGTTAGATGATGGATGGATGGATGGATGGATGGATGGATGTATGTATGGATGGATGGATGGATGTGAATAGTTAGATGATGGTGGGATGAATGATGAATGGACAGACAGACATTTGAACGGACGGACAAGTGAAAAATTAAGATGGTGGATGGATGGATGGATGGTTTGACAGACATGTATAGAGTTAGATGATGGATGGGTGATGGACGAATGTGAAGAGTTAGATAATGGATGGATGGATGGATGGATGGATGGATGGATGGATGGATGGATGGATGGATGGATGGATGGATGGATGGATGGACCCGACAGACATGTGAAGAGTTAGATGATGAATAGAAGGACAGACATGTAAAGAGTTAGATGATGGATGGATGGATGGATGGATGTATGGATGTATGGATGAATGAATGGATGAATGGATGGATGGATGGATGGATAGCTAGATGGATGGACAGACAAGTAAAGAGTTAAATGATGGATGGAAGGATGGATGGATAGATAGATAGACATGAAAATTTAGATGATGGATGGATGGATGGATGGATGGATGGATGGATGGATGGATGAAAGTGAATAGTTAAATGATGGTGGGATGAATGATGAATGGACAGACAGACATTTGAACAGACGGACAAGTGAAGTATTAAGATGGTGGACAGATGGATGGATGGATATGGATGGATGGATATGGATGGATGGTTTGACAGACATGTAAAGAGTTAGATGATGGATGGGTGATGGATGAATGTGAACAGTTAGATAATGGATGGATGGATGGATGGATGGATGGATGGATGGATGGATGGATGGATGGA